AGCTGATAGGTTGACCATTCAAAGCCACCCAGAGGCCCCTTCAGAGTCTGCTTCTAAGCCCTTTGGAGCAGTTGTACCCTGCACTGCACAACTGGGCTTGCCAGGGGCACCAAAGAGCTGCTGGGTGTTTGTAAACTTAGAAACGAATGACCAGTAAGAAGTAGAAACCAAATGAACTGTTAACTCCCTTCCCCACAGAATACTTGGTCCTTATCTGAATTACACTCCTATGTAGGAGTTCAAGACATTTTCCCTGAGAGTTTAGATGCAAGAAAGAAAAGAGATGATTCTAAAGTTAGTAGCAGTAGAGTGAGGAACCACAATTTTAAATCATAATTATCTCTAAAATATATAAGATATGAAATATATAAAAATATGTAATCATATAATAGATAATAAACTCATCCATGTCTCTTCTTCAGCCACAGAGTGAAAAACATTCCTTCATCCATCCATTTGTCTATCCACAGAAGTGAAGAGCCCAGATATTGGAGCTAAAAAAAAGCCTATACAGAAAAAGTTCAGCCACTTAATAGTTGACCTTGGGTTGAATTTGACTTTAGATTAAAAATTCCTTTTCACTGTAAAATGGAAATAAAAGTACTTTTCTCTTAAAAAGTGTCTGGTGAATGAAACAAAGTAGGTATAGCGCTTACTCCAGAGCTTACAAAATTTTAACTATTAATATATTTTTAAAAAATCATTATTGAGTACTTACTGGCACAATTGAGTATGTTTCTGGTCTGTGCTAGGTTTCAGATACAAATATGAATAAGATACCTTCCTGTCACTCAAGACTCCTGAGGAGAGAAAATAAACCACTATTTCCCACAGAATATGATAAAATACAATGAGGGTAGTTGCTTGAACATGGTATGTATGAAACTTGGCCTAATAGGAGCACCCAAGTCAGAAAAAGCATCATGAAGTAGGTAGCATTTGAAATCAGATTTAAAGGATAAAATGAATTCTTATAAAGCCCTTTGAAGCAGTTAAATCTTATTAAACCCAATTCAGATCCAAAGGCCACATATCAAAGTCAATTACACAACCAGGACTAATTCAATCCAGGAGCTCAAATCAACTGAGGCCAGCATCCTTTCTAACTGAGTGCCAACACCAGGAGACAGCAATCCGAGGGCTCTTCTACCCTTTTTCTCTCAGAAAATCCTCAAACCTTTGTTCCCACTGCTTTTGCCATTTTAAAAATGTCTTCCTAAATTTCTTATTTTAACCCAAAATACATATCTTCCTTAGAAATCTTCCCCACTCTGAGCATCTTCCTTGGACTCCAGTAGATTCAGTCTGAAAACTATCAGATGGAAAATCACGTTTGATTGACCTTTCCTGTGCATGTAAGTGTTCTCAAAAAAGCAGTCAGATTGGAGATCAGAGAAGACTCGGAAGAAACGTCTTA